TATATATTTCTAAATATATTTGAGTTGTATCACAAAAACTGTTTACATGAAAAGAATTGTTTGTACATAAAAATTAACAATTAAATAATTAATTAATAGAAAAACCTTATCCAATATCTCAATAGAATTTAGAAGGAGATTATAAGAAAAGCATTCTTCATTATTTATAAACTTTCATCTTTTTATATATCATGTTATATATCATGTTAATAATAAGCCCACAATTTTCAATGTTTCTGTGAAACACATTGCTTTCCAAATAATGCATTTATACAAGTATATAACATTTGTCATAATATGAGGGTCGCTTGAAAAGTTTTGAGCCTCAACATGAAGATGGCATTACTCAAAATCATTTTGGTACTACAATCGTACATGTTTTGCAAGATATCTGTGAAAATTGTAGCTATTTTGGATGCTCAGTTGTTGTTTGAGAGTCATTTGTGCCAGTTGATGTCAGAGTTTTTGTTTGATGAAAATCTGTGTTCTCCGAGCCAACTTTGAGTCTAGAAAACAGGCAAAAATCATTGGGTATCAGATCTGGTGAAAAAGGTGGATAGTTAATTAATTTGAACCACAATTCGTAAATTTTTGTTATGGCGATATTTCATTTTATTCGATTTTTTCCATTTTTACAAAAACACTGATATTAACTGGCACAAAAGATTCTCAAACAACAACTGAGAGAGTCCAAAATTACAATTTATGATTACAATTTTCACAGGTATCTTGCAAAACATGTACGATTGTAATACCAAAATGGTTTTGACGAGTAATGCCATCTTCATGTTGAGGCTCAAAATTTTTCAAACGACCCTCATAAATGCATCTTGTTTTCCAAAGCAGTGCAATAAATTATATCACATGTAACAGTTGTCATATCACGTTATACGTGTATTATAACATAAAGTCTGATTTGGCGCTTATTTTTATTTTATACTAAAAGTTCTTGTCTAAAAATCTGACTAGAAGAATGATAAGAATTGTAGAGACACTCCAAGTAATATTCGACGACGTATTAATATATCCCTCTAGACGATGGTACACTCTTCTGTCGCCGAGCTTTTGAATTGATCTGTAATTGAACTTCAGTGTACCATTACTGCCATCCATTTGTCTAAATACGTCCATCTAGAAATAGATTAAATAATATAGTATAAAAATAGATTAAATAATATAATATAATTAATATAGTAATTAATATAGTAATTAATATAGTAATATAATTATTATTGTTATTATTAATCCAAAAGACTTCTAAGAAAATAATTAACTTATAATTTATTATACAAAAATAATAGAATTAATAATCTCACAAAATTAAACATTCTGTTTATTTTTACATTCAAGTTACCTGCGTTTCCGACACTTTAAGCTTCTCAGTCATAACAAACCATAATACATCTTCCTGGCATGCGGGTGTAGTTAAAGATCCTTCGTAATTGTAATATGTAGTATGATCTTTTGGTAGGAACAATAAAGGTATCAGCTTATTCCTTACGTGTATCATATTATGTCCCACCCAATTTGATACCAACTTTGTTGCATCTACAATGGGCGACAGATCTGGATTATCATCACTGCTCAACTATAACAAAATATTACGTTGTTATGTCCATACATAATTTTTGTGTAGAAAAAATTCTCAATTTAAAAAAAGCAATACTGAAATTAATAACACATTATCACCTCAAATAGAACGGCAACCACAGCAATCCCGTATTTATGTTGCAAGGCTACGCTAAAATTTGTATACTTTATATCATAATGCACTAGATGCAACTCTAGTGGATCACGTAAACCATCCACAGTATGCTCTGCACTCCAATGAAAGTGCATTTGCTCCAAAACAAACACTGATGATAAACTTCCGCCACTGAGATGAAGTGGTACACCATGAAGTAGTATTTGCACTAAGAAAAAATTTCAATTGAAAGATATTGAAAGTATAAAAAAAAATATAATTTCTTTCGCGAAATAATACTTTGCAAGCTCTTGCTTCTATTCGTTATATTATATTAAAAAATTTTGATTTCTTTGTTATCCTCAGTTTAAAAGGTTGCCAAATGTTATTCTGTACGTAATTATCACATCATACAAAATTGACGACATATATTTATTATAAAATTATAAATTAACGAATTATAAATTATAAATTAACGAATTTAAAATCGTACTTCCATGAAATCATTAAGTCTTTTTTGACAACAATTTGTATTTATTGATTCATCATTTGATATAATCGACGTGATTTCTACATCTGCGACATGATGAATGCGATTGACATCTTGCTACACTATTTATGCGACTACATATGATAACTTGCGACTGTTATTAATGGATGAACATTTATATATAGTGTGTTTTCAGAAACTAGATCATTTATAATATCTTCGTTGTTGGTAAAAATACCGATTATAGGGGATCGAATTCCAAACTCTTGACATATGTTAATCCTGAGTAACCTCCAACAAACTTGTTATTCATTAAAAAGTTATAAACAAATAAATTTAACGTATAACACATATAAATATGTGTTTAACTTTATAATTTGAACTTTAATCATTGTCATATAAATTATATTATACAGTACATAAATCAATGTATAAGTTTATTATATAACTGTTTAAAATATCAAAGATAATAATTAACTTTAATTGTTTATAACGAATAACGAATGGCGGTTAAAACGAAAGTCACAGGGGCATACAACTTTCCATGTGAAACGATTCTCCCCCCTCTGCTTAGAGAAGTCTACGACTTTCCAAGCGAAGAAAAGTCCATTTTATAAGAGGTACCCCCATTGCCCCACTGCCTAGGGGCGCATAATTTTAATCAAGTGAAGGGGAGAGGGTGGATCTCATTTCGTGCGGAAAGTCGCGCGTCCTTGGGCAGAGGGGAGATGGAGTAAACCTTGCTTCGCGAGGAAAATCTTTACTCTCCTAGTCGATTCCCCTCTGTTTAGAGTCTGACTTCTCACGCAAAGTAATGAAATAATTATCAATTTTGATTGTTAATAACTTTTTAACGAAAAACGAGCGATGGTTAAAACTTAAAAATCAGGATCATAACCTTGATAACATATATCAAGATTAAGACTCATTGGAGTCCCAAGTTTGGTCCCATAATCGATATTTTATCAAAATTTTGCTCAAGGACATTTTTTGAGACTTCAAAGTCACTTTCACTTTTTAAAATGAAATTGATTTTTTTACACAATATGATTCTTCTAATTATTTTGTATATAAAAATATTAGAGATATCAAAAAACCAATAATTTACGATATTTTATACTTTATTCTAACCGACACATATTGATATAAAATGTTAAATAACTCATATACTATTAATTTTTTAATAATCCTTAATGAACAGAATAAGAGATGAATTAAGCGATACAAAAAAAGCACATTAAAAAATATGTATAGTTACATAAAAAAAATATGTATGCAAAATGAATAATTTTTTAAATAAGCAACTATGTATTCTTTACAGGAAACTCTGTACTGAAGATGATGACTCAGAACATTCGGTTGAAACGTTTATAACTTATATGTAATAAAAATTAAAAAAATACACAAACATCCAATGTCAGTTCTTCGGGACACACTTTTTTACTTTCTATTAATTTATATTTATTAAAACTTATAATTGCTAATTAGTTTTGTTAAAAAATATACAACCAAAACATTGAACAGTAAAATGTATTATATTCTATTTATTTTATTACCGGAATGTCCAGTGTTAATCATCGTACTAGGAAAAGCGAAGTCATATCGGTGGAATTTAAGAGCACCGAGATCAACTCTTATAGCATCTTCCGTCACAATGTCAATTGGCGATTGCTTCTTTCCTGTCATACATATTCCCGGCCAATTTTCTGGTCCTACGTAATCATTTACAAACTCCAGTAGACAGTTTCAATTATTTCAAAGTACAACAAAATTTAAAATTTATATTATAAATATTAAATTTTATTTACTTTAAGAGAATCCTAAAAACGATTAGTCATATTGTAAATAGCACTTACACACAGACGATATGAACAGAATAATGAGATTTATGTATCATTAACACTATCATCAATATTTCACTCACGCATACTACACATACAAATTTTCATGTAATAATTATGTTTTAATTAGACGTCTAAGTCCAATTTTCAGAATGTTGTTTAGAATCTTCATGCAAACTACTAGTCTGTGGACCAT